AGAGGTGATGACACCCGAACTGGCAGAAGCACGGAAGTAATCATACCCGACCTGACAGAAGCCTAGGAGTGAGTGCGCGAGGTGGCTATAAAAGGCTCTCTACCCCCCAAGAACATGGTATGCAAAGTTTGCGCTATCTGGTTTTATCTTGCCTTTGAAGGATTCTAACTTGAGCTTCGGAGCCTTTACACCGGGTTCCCCCCGGAGCTTCCTCATCTTCTTCGTTTCAGATTCCCTACTACTCAGTTCAGAGGCAAGGTCGTTGACAGCTAAGACCGGCCGGATTGCGCATCATCAGGTCACATTCATTCGACGATGTTTACTATTTGCATCGTTGGATTCCCTAATGCAAGGTTCCAATCCAAGCTGTGACATTTAAGATTCTTTAAAAATCCAATCTTCCCGTGCATTTCCTATTCAAGGCACCCAAATATCAGCAGTCAAAATGGAGCAATCTGCTTGGATATCTTGAAGGATCAATGGAGCCTAGCTCTCACACTGAAAACAACACTTCTTTCTTTACAAGCATTGCTTTCTGCCCCTGTACCTGGGTGATGATCCTCAAGATGCTGCCGTTGCCCAACAAGTTTAATTTATAATATCCCCGACTCATTGCCTTACTCGAGGCTAGTTAGTACTTTTTTTCCCTTTATCTGTTGTTAGAGTAGCTTGTACTATTGGACTGAGGCTTTTGGTAAGAGGACATCCATTGGAACTGAAGAAAAGGTAATAAAAAGATCTGATTTATCCTAAATTCTGTGTTTCAAGTATTAATATAACTTACATGATCTAACTTCTTGTTCAACTAGAGCCTGAGAAGTTTTCTCTTGGTTACAGGTAAAGAAGCTAGTAGAGATGGGTTTCCCAGAAGGTTTGGTGAGGACAACTCTGGAAATTGTTGGTGGTGATGAAAACATGGCTCTTGAAAAGCTTTGCTCCGGCTAAAATGGCCTTCCCGCAGCTTCCATCATCTTTTTCATTCTTGTCAATTTCTCTATTTCCCTGAGAACCTGAAATTCATAGAAAGACAAAGAAAGGAATCCCCATGAGAAATTTACATAACTAATCAAAGTCCTTAGTTATTACTATTGATTATTGTCTTCACCTCCATGGCCATGTCTTCCACAGTGACCGCAGCCATATTATCATAACCTAGTTGAGAAGCTACTTCTGCTAAGAACAGAAGACTGTTAAAACAGATGAACAGTAGAGAATCCTAACAAATGGGGAGGAAAATAATAAAGGACATGCATCTTATTTACTTTGGAGAGACACTGTTGCATCTGCTGTAGCGTATCCCTCTCTCATTTCCTCGTACAGCTTTGTTAGGTTTGCTAGTATCTGTTACTGTGCAAACTATAATTGATTAGCTAATGGTTGGAAAATAGCGTGTGCAGTGTGTACTAATAAACTAAAGAATAGTAGTAGAGATAGCAAGTAAAATTAAAAATGCCCTGTGCAATTTCAAAACTAGGAAGATGGATCATGGAATAAAAGAATTGACCTCTGAAGAAGCGTTTTCCGTCACTTCTCTAGCCACCAAATCAAGCGGGATGTCAACCCAAATTGATATCCCATGTCTCAGAAATGCCCTAATTAACCCNAAAAAAAAGTTAAAGATCAACCACGAAAGCTAATCTAGAACCTGTGAAACCGGAAATTAATCCAGACAATGCATACAAATTGGTGGAACTCTGAACTGCACCGTCCCCAGCACAAACCACCAGGCGACCCATGGATGACAACTGCTTCAGCACTTCAGTCTGCCAGAGCATTGTGATTTTGTTGAATAATTAACAGAGTTATACTATACTAAATGAAATCATGTAATAATAAGACAGTATCTTAACCTCAGAATTCCGAAATCCTTCTTCATCCCTCTCTTTGAATGATTTGGCAGAGGATTCCCCACCAGCAGCTTGCTCAACTAAACTGTCACTGCATCCAAACAAATAAACAAAATGGGGATCATCAATCTTATATCTAGGGGATATATTCCTGATGGAGAAAGATTCCTATACCTGTCAAAATAGTAATATCTCAATGCGTCAGATAAAAGTTTCCCAAGGCTGTATTTCATGATGTTGTTTATACCTATCACATTGAATTACTAATCGTGGTTACTAATCAATCAAACGGCCATTGTTACTTAATTGCGTCCAGAAAGTGATTGCAAATGCTTACCAACAAGAAATATTGAAGTGCCTTTCAATTCGGGAAGAATCTGAATTGCCTTCTTCTACACTAACAAGAAAACCGATAAAAGTAGGAGAGTTGGGACAGTTTTTCATTATTGGTTAGGTTAAAAAGAAATAATCGAAAGCTTGTGATTCACATGAAATTTCACCTTTACCGGGAGCGATGGATCAAGCTCAACAACATTTGCGGTTGTACCTTCCATGAGAGCATTCAGCAAAAGGATGTCACTAATAAAGCTTTTACCAGTTAAAGCTTAGAGACACCAGAGGAGTGTGTACAGTGTACACTACACCCCTGTACTCGCCACATGTTGATTGTAGGCGTAGGACACACCCTTTAATCAGCTTCATCAGTGACAATAAGTAATAATTTACTGGGGCTTTCAACTTTTAAGCATTTGCTTCAGAGTTGTTTTTGTGTGGTGGACTGGACTGGCTGACTGTGACTGGGGGGTAACACTCACTTGCCAAATGGCAATACCCATTGAAACAGGGCATGGATTCCCAAGTCTCCAAAACCAAAACCTTTCGAATGAGAGAGAGGGAATGCGCTACTTTTGAGTGGATAAATATCCACGTCGCCCATGTTCGGATGAAAATTAAGCTTCTTATGTATGTACCGTGGTTTATTATCCACCGTTGAAACCTGAAAGGAGCATTTCCTCCTTTTTACGAAAGAGAACGGTGTTAGTAGGGCTTTGGAGATGTTCAGTTTCAGCTACTCACCGGAAATTTCATGTTGATCCCGGAGGCTGGAGCTTATCTTCTTAGTTGCAGGTCTTCGGAGCATCGACGTAGTAGTTTCTGTGGAAATTGAGGTCGTCGTCGTCTGCAAACTGTGGAAGGAACCGACTTTTGTGAAGAGGGGAGAGATGAGTGAACTCCGACCCCCTCCTCCCTCAAATCGAAACTGGATAAACTTAGAACAACAAAACTGGAGGTTCCTGCAACTCGAATGTATCAGGCTCATCTCCATCCTTCTTCTTTACCGTATCCTTTCCCCCTTCCCCCTTTCTCTCGTAAAAGAACAGTTCAGAGTACTCTCTCTCTCTCTCTCTCTCCTCCCAAATTACAGATTAGGAGGAACAGTCCCTTTCGTAGTTTGTACCAACGCAGTCCGGAGATTATTCAGCCCTTCCCTTCTTTGGTGGGTCGGTCAGTTTCAGAAGAGAATGGTTCCTTCTTGAATCCCGATTGATATCCATATTCCATACCACATGAATGAGATTAAGGGATTTAGGAGTACTTCCTTCTCGAGAGACAATAATACCCCTAGCAATGTTTGGTAATTCCTACGTGTAGAATTATACTATAGACAGTTCACTTTTAATTCCCTTGCACGGTAAGGTGCAAATTTTCCGGGTTAGGGTTGGGATTTTATCAAAATTCGAATGGATCCAACCCGAAGCCCATGCCCGAAACAGTGTAAACTATTAATTCAGGTCAATCCGATTTGCACCCCTAGTTCACGGCTGCACCCAGGCCCCAGAGCCCGTCCCCAAGGCCCAGGTTGGTCCTCCAAAGTCCAGACTGGACACTACACTACCATCATCTGGTTGGATTTTAGTCATGGGCCGGGCTGGGTCATGCCCATGCCCGGCGAAGCTCTCCAAGTGTCTACGTTTCCGGCCCTTTGGGCTTTGGGTGTAGCCAGCAGCCAGGGTTGAACCAAACCGTAACTCAGATTAAACCACTCCGTTTTGGCCTCCACAGCCACAAGTTTGAGCACGGATTCCTTTAGACTGTGTTTGGTTTGAAAGAAAGGGCAGGGAAAGGAAGGAAAACCCTACCTTTTTCTTTCAAACCAAATACAGCCTTAAGATATCATGTGCTCCCTTTTGGGTTGGGCTGCATTTTAATATAGGCTGTTCTGAGTTTAATAATTACTATGTTCTTACAATTCGGAAGTTCGCCCGGCCCAACTCACTGGTGTTACAACTTACAAAGCCCATATCCAATAATAGCTCCAATAATAGCACGTATAACGAGGGGGAAATCTATGGTGCGAAAAAGACATGGTATGGGAAGAGTTTTGATCAATGAATTTTGATTAAATAACATGATTGGCAATCGTGTTTATGATTCCAATTAACTAGTAAGAAGTTTTCAGATATCGTTTGTGGAGTGGTTCTCATGTGTGAGTGAGTTTACATTGGCACCTCATAAGGGTCCCACAGCACATCTCGATTGTATATTGGAAACATCTTCCGGTGAAAGTGAGTAGGAAATCCCGAATGTGCTGAAATGTGCATGTGGGGCGCTGAGATGTGATATCGTCCATCTCCTCGTGTACAGTGTTCATTTGTCATTGATTGTGTAGCTCGGTTTCGCAGCAGATCCCGGTTCATACTTCATGGATGAATGTTTTAAGTTTTAACTTTCAAGTTTCAACTGTGATATCCGTTCATGTACTGGACAACATAAACCACACATTTAAGCTAAGAAGAGGAGAAAAAAAAAAGATAAAAACAATCACACACATGCTGGTGCAACTGGATTTGATCGGAAGACCTTATCAAGTGAGCTAGTTGGCACCGTCAACCAAAAAATTATATATAAATCAATGCAAGGAATGCTGAATCTCCTCAAGAATTAGTGTCGTTCCCACATCGTCAGGATTTTGATCAGTTTACCCGTGGCTTTCTTTCTAGTTTCTACTTCTGGACATGGATCAATAGAATGTGGATAAAGAGTAGTGGACAGGAAATCCGATTTGCGACTTGGCAGTTAATTCGATGTTATATACGAGACAGACTAGTTTATTATAACAGTTAATTCGATGTTATATAGAATGTGGATAAAGAGTGTGGCTGCAATCCACATGACTAGTTTCTTATAATTTGTTTTATTGGGCCGGGGATTAGCTATAGGAAATATAGAAAGCCGAAAACAAAGATGAAGAAGACATTTTTTTGGGGGGGGGGGGTAGAAAAGATGAAGATGTCATTCATGAGAACAGACAACTGATTATATCCACATTTAGTGTGTACCAAGTGAATGATAATATCATTTATTACTAAGAACAAAAGTGATAATAACATAATCGGAGAGAGAGAGAGAGAGAGGCGTTGTTTACAAGTTACAACTTACATAGTGGAAGGAAGCTAGAATATAATGAAAAGAGTTTCAAGAACAACGATAGATTGCAACCCTCCGGATGCGAGGCTGGGGTTGACAGGCGACGAACAGCAGCATTGCTAAGACCAGTGCCACCACCAGTCCTATGAGAGTCGAGTTGTCGCTCCCGTCTGAGATGTAAATCTTTCCCATCTTCCTACCTAAACTCTCCAAGATGGAGAAAAGATTTTTGGTTATTAGAATTCAGGGAGGGAAGAAAAGGTAGACGGACATATTAAATATTAAATAAATAAATGAGCAATCAGAAAAGAGGAGGTCAAACGTTACATCTCTCTCGAGACTTCTACCCACACCACCACAGAAACCAACGAACCAGACAACGCCACGCCATCTTTTTGGAGTTTTGGTTCGTCGTTTTCACCTTTTGTTTATCCATGTTTTCAGAGGGTTGTCGGGAGTTCAAATCAACCCCCACAACGTCCCAGCACATCTCCGCCGTATATTGAGAACATTTTCCAATTATATTATCAGGGGTGCTGTGGGACGTTGTATGGGGGCTGATTTGATCTAAGTTGTCAGGATGTGACTACAGCATGGATGTCGGTGGGCCGTTAGATCTGTAAGGAACCATCATAGCCTCCCTTTACTCTGCATTTGTACCGACATCAAATCAGTTCCCACAACGTCTCACAAAACATCCTTGCCGTGTATCGTTGAGATTGTGCTGTGAGACGTTATGAGGGGCTGATTTGAACTCGTTTTTATCCAGCAATTCAGCTTAGACTTAAAAATTAAACACAAATTTGGGATTTAACAAAAACGGGCAAATTTCTTAAAGTATTTCTATAATTTAGGAAATCGACTAAGTCTATTCTTAATGTCTCTTAAATTACTCTTTAAGTTTTTTGATAATTGTCTAAAATTTTTTTTATCATTAATTTTCCGTCAGACTTTCTTCACATGTGACATCAAGTGACTAATAATTTTTTTTTTTTTTAATTTCTAAAATACGCTTTTATGCTTTCACTCCATTTCCCTCTTTGTCTCCGTCATTCCAACTCCGATTCCGTCTCCAACTTTGTCTCTATCTCTGTCTCCAATTCCRATTTTATCTCCGTCTCCATTTCTTGGTCTTGTCTCTCTTTGTTAGCAGGTTCGGTGGCCATTCTCGCTCGATCTCCCAACTGGGTTTTCCTCTCCTCTCCTCTCCTCTCCTATAGTTGTTCGTTACCTTTTACTAATCTTGTTCTCTTTGTTCAGATAAATACATGGCTTCCACTATTACAATCCTACCTCCTCTTCCATGGAAGAAAAACCTCTCCGAAGTTCATAAACTTCCTCTTTCTGGCGGCGGAGGTGAGCTTCGTTTATCAATTCGATCAAGTGTTTTTGGTTCGACCACATTTTCATTTAAATAATTTTTAATAATCATCGAGATTCAGTTTAACTGTAGAATGACATCTATTTAATGGCTGCTTCCGAAAAATAACTTAGTCACGTATGAAAATAATGTGCATTTTTCTGTTTTATATTTGTCGTTGCTTAGTCCTGACCCATTTTTCTTTTTCGTCTTCTTCTGCTTCTTCATCTCCTAATGTAATTTCACAAGGGGAGAGGACTGCATTGGAGGTTTGATTAGGCTAGGCGCCTCAATTTTTTAATTCTTTTCTTTTCTTATTCCAAATTTGTTTTTCTATTGTAAATGAATCTGAAAAGTGTGAAATAATCGGTCAAAATCAATTATTTTATCTAGGCTTTGTCATTCATAATGAAACACATACACACACACATATATATATATATATAAAAGATCTGAATCAAATCCTTATTAAAAAAAAAAAACTTATCTATTCCCAACAAAATCCGTTCCAACATGATCTAACACTACATATCTGGAGAAGGTCTAGATTACATATATTTTGAAATTGGATTTGGTCCTCACAAGACCATACAGATACCATATACAGTCCCTTGCAGTCTTGTTTTGGGAATATATCCCCATGAAAAAAACATATAAATATCACGGTCTTATGAGAATTGAATCCACGCAACCACAGTTGTGAAACCTAAACTACCAAGTCCCCACTACAATTGATAAAATAGGTAGGAATCTACCTAATCACCTACTTGGGCTCCATTCCCCCAAGGCTTTGTGGGCACGGGCTACACAGGCTAGGCTGCCCATGGGCTAAAGCGCAGTATCAAACATGGCCTAAACCTAGCCAATACCATCCATATTACGGGCTTGGATTTGCTACTCACAAGTTGTTCCCACATCCCTACCCATGGGACAACATCTGTGCATTGGGAATGTTTCCCTTTTCATTCATTTGGAGATGTTCCCAATACATGGTGGTGGTATTCTGTGGGTAAAGATGCGGGAACATTTTGTGGGTAGCAAATCTGGAGTGCCACATTACACCTCTTTATATACGTGTGAACCATACTTTTTCCTATCAAGAAAATATTTTTTTTTCACTCCATGGGGATATATAAGAGGGTGGGGGTGGCTCATCCCCCAAGAGCCCAGATCTACTCATAGAGCACTCTTTACTCCAACCTCTAGCACATTTTAGCTACACATCAGAAACATCTCATGTACTGTGTTGTTATTCATGGGGTGATGTTTTGGTAGTGTGATGTGCTGTGGGGTTGGTGTGAGGAGCAAATGTGATTCATCCTGCACTCCAAACCTTGGTGCAGGCAGGATTCAATCCCAAACCTCCACTACAAATTTCTTCTAAATACTAAGCCTCCCCTCACTTTTTAAAAAGAATACCTCCCGTCATCCAATGGAATGATTAAAAAAAAAAGTCCCTATTTCAAATTTTCGTCCCATTTCTAGCAACAATAATTGAAGCTAGGCAACTCTGCCAAGGTTCAAAGTATCGATACATATCGGCCCATATTGGTCAATACGTATCATGCCGATGGCTTACTGATACACCCCTCCAGGGGTTGTACCAGATCAGCCACCGGTTCAGAGGATAACCGGGCCTTAAACCAGCCCCTCTGAACTGGTTTAGAAAAAAACAAATGAAACTTAAAAAAAATGTACCAACATGGGTCGATACGCTCTACCGGCCCATCACATAGGGGATAGCTATCCAACCTTCAGACTTCATAAATGGTTCGTCTGTTAAAGCACTTGTCAACATGATATAGATGTTCTGTGCACTCCCTTGGAAATGAGATTTCTTAGAACCATTTTGGGAAACTTGAGATTCACTATAAAAACAAAAGAGATAGGGGTACAACAACGGAAGACTCTTTTGTTGATAAATTAATGAGACAAAGCAAAATTCATCTGAATCTAATGGACGAACAATATGTTGACCATTATTAAATGCGCTTATGCCAAGTTCTTATCATAATCAACAGCCAACAGAAAACAAGGATTAGAAAAAAAAAGAAAGAAAAAATCGATACACAATCATATATGATATTTACACAGAACCGCACCTGCAAGAGATGATGTAAAATAGATCTTGAGCCAGAATATTGCTTGACCAAGCCAGAATATCTACATGATTTCTAGTTGCAACATACTGCCTCAATCAATAATCACCTGCACTAGTTGACAAAGGCGGTTCTCAAAATCACAAATGAATTGATTCAAGAAATAAAGGCTATTCAACTTTTGTCCCAGATATCTGAGATCTTGGGAGGGGCAGAGAGATCGACTGGATACAAACCTAACCTTATGGGTTATTTTTTGGCGTGAAGTGGCCACTCTCAGACTCAAACCCATGTTCTCATGGCTATCAGCCTAAATTTTACCATTACACCAAGTAGGGATGCAAGCTCGGTTTGGGGTGTTCGGGCTCATTCAAAATTTAACAAATGATCAACCCAACCCAAGTCGCACCCCTAAGTTCAAGCAATGACCCCTATGAGGGAATCATAAAATGATTAAAGTAACAAATGCACATAGATGAATTTTATAGACAAGGTGACCATCAGGATGACCAAACAAGGCTGAAACATCACATGAAATGTCTAATTCCAGAAAAGGGGATTTAATTACCTCTGATCTGACTGGCTTGGGTAACCTCAGCAACAGTTGGTGCTGGCTGGATGTTGATTAATAAAATAGGTGTCAGAGGAGGTGAAACAACTTCCTCAGCCTTCTCTAGGTTTTGAGGAGTTTCCAACAGCTTGACCACATGGAATGCCCTTTCTCTCTGACTGCCAGATGGTATGGAGAAACTCCTAGAGACAGTTAAAGGATGAGTTGAAAGTGGAGATGCAGCATTTGGAGCCATTAGGGGCTGTTTTGCTTGACTTCTGGCAATTAAGGGACCTGAATGACCAATTAAACCTGAAGGCCTTGTGGGCTTGGTAGTTGAGCTCACTGGGGGCCTAGGAAGCTCGTGCAGCTCACTTATCTTGGGCGTAAATATAAGAGGAGGGGAAGCACTTGGTGATACTTTTGGGGACGAGGATGGCTGGACCACTGGGGCACGTGAAAGAATCCCTGATATAAGCTGGACTTGTTTGATTGACATATTGGGACCACTGGCAGATAAGGGAGGTTTTGTTGACCATGGTCTACTAGTTAATGGAGCAGAAAAGGCCTCTGTTTTGATCTTTTTAGCATCAGACGCATTATGCAGGTCAAGCTGTAGTAATGAAAGACCTTCCCCCAAAGGAGGGGACAATCTGATGGGTGCACTATTGGTGTTGCTCTCTTTGAGTACTGATTGTGCTTTTAAGCTGGCGAATCTCGACAGCTTATCTCCAGAATCTTTCTCATACTTCTTGGGTTCCAAGGGAGATGAATGCCATAAATTGTGGACGCGTCCAGCCAGGTTTGTTTGCCTTGTCTGAGGAACAAGATTGCCTGATCTGGCATGTACTGGACCTTTTGCATCAACTGGTGTGGGTAATACATATGTGCGAAACTTCCGAGTAGCTGATGATTGCATTTCTCTTATCCTTTCAGCTGGATCAAACTTCTTCTCTGCAAGAATTGGAGCTGATTGGCTCCCTGCCTTAGGTTCCCTACTAAAAGCATAGAGTCCCCTTTGGCTTTTATCCAGATTTTCCTGCAAATATACCAAAGCATAAATTGATCTCAAAGATCAAAATCATGTGCTGATAAAATCATGATCTAAAGGCGCTCAGCTTCAAAAACTATAGAGTCCATTCAACAATGATTAGAACATAATTTTGCTAAGAATGAAATGACTTCTCACTAGTCTGAAGAATTTATGGATTTTATGGTTTCTGTTAACATCTAGAATAAGTACATTTAGGAACCTTTACCTGTGCAACTTCCACCGATGGCACTTGGGGAAGTGAAAGATCTACTTGATCCAACTGCGTAACGTGTTGAAACATAAGATCATAAGTGGCACAGTAAAATTATAATATTTCATGCTAAACAAATTTAAGAATGCAATATAAGGAACTCCAAATAAAATACTAAAATTAAAAAAAAAGTTACTTTTTGGACTTATATATATATATAATAAATATATATAAATATGAAATGTATATTATAAAATTTAATTGGACTTGGATATTTAGGAAAAGACGAGGTTAAATCTGAATATGCCAATTATGTAAACGGATAATCCAAATCTGAAATGATCAAATTGGATCTTGGGTTGAGTTTTGGACTTTTGTAGTTATTAGCAGTCTTGCAAGGCATGAGATTGGCCAAACCACTAGAGTTCCAAGGGGATTCCCACACAATATGGGGTGGTTGAACAGGAAAAGCATGGGGTTCTTGGAAGTATAGGAACATAATGAGAGAGAATGCAACACTAGCTGCCATCTTGGGAGAGAATTATAATTGGATCCCAAGGTATGCCAACAATACCACAGATGGGTTGGCAAGAGAAATAGCTAACAGAAATCCCAAGTGATGTTTATCCGTAACGTGGGTGTACACGACAATACATCCTTGACATATGACACAAGAAGGTGTAAGTGATGTTTATCCTGTAAGGTTTACCCTCAAGATCATTTTCTCAAAAATCACCTAAATTCTACTCTCGTGGTGCAAGCCTCAATTTGTTTTTAACAACATTACAAGAACTTAGGTGCATTCTAAGTTCTAACTAAGAACAAGAAATGCTAAATTAAATGCTATAGCTCATAAAGAATATAACTTGTGCATCCTCATGTACTAACAAAAGAAGATTATATGTCTTGTTGTCTGAAATGTACAAAACGCATTTTTAGAGGAGGCCTAACTGGTTCTTGTCTCCTCGTATTTTGTTCTTATATTCAGAAAGCAGTAAGACAACTCTTCACTTGCTAATCTCCTGCCCCTATGTTTCTGGTGATGCAGGTGGTATCCTCCACATAAAACATGTAGAGCCTTGTTGAGAACAGCCTTTTCAATCCTAAGAAAATAAGGGGAAAGATGTTATGCTAGTTCAAGTTTTTGATCCAATGCACAACCCATGCATGTATGGTAGTGAATGTCTAATAGTAGCTTAAAGCCTCTCAGCTTCATGGTCTCACTTTTTAACAGCATGTCATGGCAACTGCTCTTACAATAGAATTACCAATAGCAACCCATTGATGCATTGTTGCAGCCAATCACTTCAAGAGGGCCTCCACTCAAGTCTAATAGAAGATATGCAGACTTCAAAGTCAGGATGCCATAAGGCACATTAGTCCATAATAATCATCTAGGAGGTTGAATAAAGCATGTTGATCACTACCATTTTGGTCAAAATTAAAACAAAAGTTTTTTTTTCTTACCATTGATAAGCAAACAATAAAAGTTTGCATTTTCAACTGTGCTGAAATCTTGTTTTCTTCTAGGAAGAAGAGAAGAAAGGGAGAAGAAGAGAGAAGGAAGAGAATAGGAAGAGAAGGAGAAGAGAGATTGGCTGTTTGGGAGCCAAAACATTAGGCTGGCGGCACCCAGCTTTCTATTTATATTAATGAGATAAAAATAAAAGAAGGAAAAATTACATCCTTGCCCCTGGTGGTACACCCTAATAAAAAACAATAATAAAAGACAGTAAACAAGCTGACAGCACCCTAAGACTGACAACATAAAATACTAAAACAGCAGAAACAACTAACGTATGAAGTGCTTGTCCACTTCAATGTGTTTTGTCTTGTCGTGTAGGACAGGGTTAGTAGCAATGTTTATGGTTGCCTTATTATCACAGTAGAGAAACATGGGGCTATTAAATGGAAACCCAAGCTCTCCTAACAAATTCTTCAACCAAAGTGCTTCAGTCACCCCATTTGCCATACCCTATACTTAGCTTTAGCACTAGATTTTGCAACCACATTTTGTTTTTTACTCCTCCGTGTCACTAGATTTCCTCCCACAAAAGTGCAGTACCCACTTGTAGATTTCCTGTCATCTATAGTACCTGCCCAATCGGCATCTGTATAGACTTCCACTTTCAAATGGTTGTGCTTATGGAACAGCAAGCCAATTCCTGGATACTTCTTTAGGTACCTAAGAATTCTTTCTACAACCTCCATATGTGGTGTCTTAGGGGAATGCATAAATTGAATTAGAACACAAACCGGATAAGCTATGTCTGGACGTGTCATGGACAACTAAAGTAATCTTCCCACTAGTCTTTGAAACAGTTTCACATCTTTTTTAGAGGTTCACCATCACAATCACCCAATTTATAATTAACATCCATAGGGGTGTCTACTAGTTTTGCACCTAGCTTGCCTGTGTCTTGTAGCAGATCTAGGATGAAGATACCCCTTTTTGAGAGAGCAACCTCAATCCCAAAGTACTTTAGAGGACCCAGATCTTTCACCTCAAATTGAGAAGCCAAGAACTCCTTCAACCTTTGTATTTCAGAGTTCCAATTCCCTGTGATAATGATATCATCCACATACACTATCAACATTGCAACTTGTTCTTGACACCTCTTAACAAAGAGAGTGTGATCAAACTGACATTGTTTGAATCCTACCTACTGAACTGCCATATGAAACCCGCTGAACCATGTTCTGGGAGATTGTTTTAGGCCATAGAGGGACTTTCTTAACTTGCACACCTCATTCTCAGTGTTTTAAAAGCGCAAGGCACAGGAGTCAATTTGTGCCTGAGGCGCAAGGCGCAAGGCGAGGCACACACCTTTTTAAGCAAGGTGCAAAAAATAAAAAAAATAAAAAAGCCAAACAAATCAAAAAATTATTAAACATAATATTGATAAAAATTATAAACTTAAGTTTTAAAAAACCTATTATCTAAAATTAAAATACATAAATATAACATGTGAAGCATATTCAAATGAGAATTTAAAAAATAAAATCAAATATATAAAACATTTTCAAGCATATAAAACCCACAATCTCTTTTTTTCTCAATTGCATTACTTGAAGTAGCTAATGTGATGTAAAACATATTACATTCCTGATTCTACGAGACGCCTTTGTGCCATGCCCCTCGAGAACCCCCTATTTGGTAATGTTGTTCATTCATTCATCCTAATAAAATATCTTCTTAAAAAGCAATTAAAACTATAAAATCAGTATTTTTTGTGTGAGAACTAAGAATTTAAGACCTAACGTGGATTTGTTTGGGCTTGCCTCGAGGGGCGTGGCATGGGGGTCTGGGGGCGGAGCCCCGACTGAGCCGCTAGACACAAAAAAGCAAAAAAACATCAAATTTTCAAAAGGCGCATGCTTGGGCTGAGGAACAAGGCGCACTAGGCGTGTGCCTTTTGAAAGGGCTGCGCCTAGGACATGGGTGAGGTGCCTACCCTAAAATGTGCCTCGCCTGTGCACCTAGGCGTGCCTTTTAAATCACTACTCATTCTCACTTTGGCATAGAAGCCCAGTGGCTGAACCATATAAACCTCCTCCTCCATATCACCATTTAAAAGGCATTTTTTTACATCAAGTTGATGCAATTCCTAGTCAAGATTTGCAGCTACTGATGACAAAACCCAGATTGAATTCATTTTCGCTATAGGGCAAAAGTCTCATCATAGTCAATACCATAAACCTGAGTGTACCCTTTTGCTACCAGCCTTGCTTTGTATCTTTCTATTGTTCCATCAGCCTTGTGTTTCACTATAAACACCCACTTACACCCCATAGGGTCTTTCCCTTTTGGAAGATCAACTAACTCCCAAGTGTGATTCTTATGGAGGGCATTAATCTCATCCTTCATAGCATTTGCTCATTCAGGATAAGTCAGGGCCTCTGCCACATTTTTGGGTATGGGAATACTATCAACAACAGATAAGAATGCTCGGTGAGAGGGGGAAATATGATCATAAGATACATAGTGGGTAATAGGGTGTTTGGTAGTGCACAATCTGACTCCCTTTCTATGAGCAATCGGGATGTCAAGATCATCCACAACCGAAATGGGAACAAGGGAATCAACAGGGACAGGGTGCCTGGCGCATTTGGACTTACCTCCTGGGAGTATGATGGCATCAGTTGCTCAATAGAGTTGGATCCAGAATGGAGGGAAGAGAGACTTGGCGTACCTGTTTTTCCTCCTATGTACTACTCTCCCCCTGGGGAGAGGCAGGGTAGAACGGTTCATACTCGAGGAAGGAAACATCCATAGAGACAAAGTACTTATGACCAATAGGATCAAAACACTGATACCCCTTTTGAGAGGAAGGATACCCAAGGAAGACACATGGAATAAACCGAGGGTCCAACTTGTCACGAGGAGACAAATCATGAACAAAGGCACGACAACCAAACACCTTCATAGGGATGGAAAACAGAGGGGACTGAGGAAACAACAACTGATGGGGGGACTTGTAGTTCAATACTCTAGAGGGCATGCGATTGATGACATATGCAACAACAAGAACATCTGCCCAGAAACGTTTTGCCACATTCATATGTAACATCATTCCCCGTGCTACTTCAAGAAGATGTCTACTCTTTCTTTTAGTAACACCATTTTGTTGTGGTGTTCTTGCACATGAACCATGAAGGGATCCATGGTGTTTGCTGAAAGGTTGTAGCTGAAGTAGTAAAAGAGAGGTGAAGGCAAACAAGTGCTGAGAATGTCGAACTGACTAACCCAGTCGACAGTACTATTATTTATAGTAGATTACAATACAGTGTTACATGAAATGTCTGGAATGCCCCTGATTAGTGATGGGACACCCAGACTGCTTAAAACACTAAACAGACTTAGGCCCAATACCTAACAGCTTAAAACCCAATACTAACTAACATGTACACTTATCAGCCGAACCAAGAATACATAAAATCAGTCAACTTAACACTCCCCCTCAAGCTAAGCATGGATGTCAGTCATGTTTAGCTTACCAAGAAGGTCCAAGAATTTTCTTGCAGCCAACCCTTTAGTCAACACATCTGCAATCTGCATCTCGGATGGA